TAACAAACACTCCTGGGGACCCTGCCAGGGTGGGGGAGACTGAGGACAAATACTGCTGTCACTCCAAAGGACGTTTTTTAGCAATAAAACTATCAAGTGTATCTCCTCGGATGTTTCTAAGACCAAAAGCATGAGCCACACAGAAAAAAACCAAACGTGACAAGTAAGAATCCACTGAAATAAGATAACTGTTTGTCAAAAAACACCATTGAAGGGGCGCCCGGGTGGCTCAGTCGGTGAAGCGATCCCATAAATGTTCCGTGTCTCGACGCGGGTGATGCTCACACAGATGTATACGTTTGGGGAAGTTCGCCTGCACACTTAAGATGTGCGTGATTTTACCCCACGTAATGCCATCTTGCAGCTGAAAATGTACAACTCACTCCTGGGAAGAGACTGACTTTCTGCTGTAGCCACTTACGGGTACTTCCCTGATACTTGAACTCTATCCAATAGAGGCAGTAATGCCCTGCTCTCCCCCCCCCCCCCCCTTTTTTATTTAAACCAGAATTTGCTGTTTGAATAAAAAACCTGCCGTGCAAGTGTTTTTAAGTCCTGTTTTGAGTCTGGGATGTGGATGATGCCCAGTTGTGGCTCACTTGGTAACGATCCTGTCTTGTATGCTGCTGAAACGTGTTATACATTACTAATAATTATCTTCCCCCTTCCTAGGGCCCTGTGTAGGCTCCTGCCAGGTGCCCGGGAGGCACCACCAACCCAAGTCCAATTGTAGATGGTATCTTGGGGTATCTTTTGCATCTTTTCGTTGGTTTGTTTTTGTGTATTTAGTTCCATCGCGTGATCATTGCAGTGTGGAAGGAGAGTCTAATTCATATCTGATTCTGTGCAAAACTGTTGTGTATCACACACAAACATAACCACTAATGAGCTCATTAAGTGTTGAATAGTTAAGCAGTTGATACATTCAGTGCTTTCTATTAGGCTCAAATCCTTGGTGGGTGGTTATAAAAGTGTTGAAGGGTTTTAATGGTGTTTGGGGAAGATGGTTGGGGTTGCTGGAAGGAGCTGGGAGGGCACGGTTTTCCCCACTTAAAATAATTGTTTGTCCTCAGTTTTTCCATTTGATGCTTTTTTGGGAATGGATTAGATTTAGATTATGAAGGGTGCCTGTTTAAAGAGATACACACATGGGGCGCCTGGGTGGCGCAGTCGGTTAAGCGTCCGACTTCAGCCAGGTCACGATCTCACGGTCCGTAAGTTCAAGCCCCGCGTCGGGCTCTGGGCTGATGGCTCAGAGCCTGGAGCCTGTTTCCATTCTGTGTCTCCCTCTCTCTCTGCCCCTCCCCCGTTCAAGCTCTGTCTCTCTCTGTCCCCCCCCAAAAAATAAATAAATGTTAAAGAGATACACACATGCATAGGTAATATATATACTATATATGGAATATGTGTATATACGAGGAATACGTAACCCAGACAAGCCCAACAGAATGGTATTTCCCTTTTCCTCTATTCCATTTTTTTTTTTTTTTTTTTTGAGAGAGTGTGAGTGGGGGAGGAGCATAGACAGGGAGGGGCGACAGAGGATCCGAAGCGGGCTCCCTGCTGACAGCAGCCAGCCAGATGTGGGGCTCGAACTCACGAACCATGAGATCATGACCCGAGCGGAAGTCGGACGCTTAACCAACGGAGCCACCCAGGCACCTCTTTCTATTCCATTTTTTAAGATTTGCTGGGCACATGCCACTACTTTGCTGATCTGGGTCAGGAACCATTTCAGGCCTCCTCAGTGTGGACAGGTGCTCCAGACCTGTTTCCCACCACAACGTGCCCACCACCTTAGTCCTGTTCACCACTGTATGCTCGGCACAGCGTGGGGACTGGCACAGAGTAGGTACTCGAGAAACATTTGCAGAATGAATGAATTGGGCTCCAGCTACAGAGCCGCCTGGCTAGAAGAGGCTGTTAGGCTAGCTCAGATCCTGCTTTTTGCTACCTGCCAGCTGTGTGACCTTGTGTAAGCACTAGGGAGTCTCACCCTCTGGTGACAATGGCTCTGTTATGTGTGTGCCTCACCCAAAGGCCACTAGTGAAGTTTACATAAGAGCAGAAGGCAAAGCACACGTGCGGCCACCTTCCTGGGCCCAGCTCCCACCTCCCGCTCCCTTCCTCCATTGCCAGATCCACCCCTGTTTTTGGGGACACCCCTCTTGCTCCTTTGAAGAAGCCTGGCTTGGGAGGAAGTGCTCAGGCTAGCCCTGCACTAGGCTTGGACCTGCGTCCTAGGCTCATAGTCACAGGATGGGGGTGGGGGACTGGCAGACACAGGGTGATGACAGCTTTGTCTCTCCTAGTGACAACGTTTCTAGGGCAGTTGGACTTTTGTAGGGGGGAGGGGTCAACCTTATTAAGGTATAACTTGCATCCCATAAAGTGCATCTGCTAAAGTAGGTAATTGGATGGGGGGGGGGCGCCTGGGTGGCTCAGTCGTTTGGGCGGCCGACTTGACTCCAGCTCAGGTCATGATCTCGCAGTCTGTGAGTTTGAGCCCCGCGTCGGGCTCTGTGCTGACAGCTCTGAGCCTGGAGCCTGCTTCAGCTTCTATGTCTCTCTCTCTGCCCCTCCCCCACTCGCTCTCTCTCAAAAATGAATAAACTTTAGAGAATTTAAAGAATAAAGTAAGGGGCGCCTGGGTGGCGCAGTTGGTTAAGCGTCCGACTTCAGCCAGGTCACGATCTCGCGGTCCGTGAGTTCGAGCCCCGCGTCGGGCTCTGGGCTGATGGCTCGGAACCTGGAGCCTGTTTCCGATTCTGTGTCTCCCTCTCTCTCTGCCCCTCGCCCGTTCATGCTCTGTCTCTCTCTGTCCCAAAAATAAATAAACGTTGAAAAAAAAATAAAAAAAAAAAGAAAAAAAATAAAGAATAAAGTAAGTAATTGGATGAGTTTTGACAAGATGCATACGTTAGTGAAACCCACCACATTCAAGATGCACGATACTCCCACCGCCCCCAGATTTCCTGCTGCTCCTTTGCAGTCTATCCCTCTCCGCCCAACAACCACTGATCTGCTTTGGGTCACTAAGGATTAGTTTGTCTCTTCTAGAATTTCGCATTGGTGGAATTATATAGTATGTTGCCTTTTGCGCCCTGCTTCTCTTACTTTGTATCGTGCCTTCGAGATTTTAGGCATGTTTTTGCACAGACCAGTTTATTCCTTTTTGTGTTTAACCATCAAAGAGTATCTGCTCTCCACCCTTCACGTTTGTTTATCCATTCACCTGTAATGGACACTGGGTGGTTTCCAGCTTGGGGCTAATGTATATAAAGGTGCATTTGCACGTGGCTCTTTGCCTGCCCTCCACTTTCCATAGCAAATATTTTGCAATGCCCACTAAGGGTACACAAATATTTGCTGCTGGGTAAAGGGAGCGGACCATCCAACAGCATTTAAGACAGGGGGCCCCATTCCCTCCATCTATGCCCAGTGTTAACCCCTTGGTTGCCGGGGTCAGGGAGATCCAGGGAGTCCCCACGTCCAGCCGGGGGAGTGATAATATGGGGGCGGGGGGCAGGGGGGCTCATGGCAGTGGTCGTTTAGCAACAGGTTGAATCTATAATCCGATATTTTCATGTTTGAACCACCCTGAGGGCCACACCAGCGCATGTGATGGCTTGGCTATCAGCTCTGGGAAAACCCTCTTGGCTCTGCTGAAATGGAATGAAATGAAATAGATAATGTAACTCATCTGCACATGACTTTATTTAAGTTTACTTTAGTTTCCTCTATACCCAGTGTGGGGCTCAATCTCATGACCCTGAGAGCAAGAGTCACATGCTCTTTTGACGGAGCCCGCCAGGCGCCCCCTGCACATGATTTTAAAAACAATCTCTTAGGGGCGCCTGGGTGGCTCAGTCGGTTAAGCATCTGACTCTTGATTTTCGGCTCAGGTCCTGATCTCACAGTTCATGGGTTCGAGCCCCACCTTGGTCAACACAGAGTCTGCTCGGGATTCTCTCTCTCCCTCTCTGCCCCCCCCCCACTTGTGGTTGCACGCTCAAAATAAACTTAAAAAAAAACCCACACAACCCCCTCCCCCATCTCTCTATTGCCCTAAATGTAACAAAAAAGAAATAAAACGATAATTTATAACAGGAATTTTAATACGAAAATCTGTGGGGCAGAAGCGAGAACCCAAGGAGGTAGCTAGATATTTACATAGGTAATGTAGGCAGCTCCCGCCGGCTGGAAACACACGCTATTGGTGTTTGATTATCAAGAGCCATGTAGACCATGATTTTCAGAAATTGTTGACAATCCTTGGCCGGGTTTTGAACAAAACACCATACAAACTTGCCTCATTTAGGACCTATCAAAACCTTACAAAAAGGACTTTGTGTTTGCATGAATAGAGAGTTCGGTTCTGGGCTCAGATAATTTTTTTAATTACATTTTAATGTTTATTTTTGAGAGAGAGAGAGAGAGAGACAAGAGTGGGAGTGGGGTACGGGCAGAGAGAGAGGGAGACACAGAGTCCGAAGCAGACTCCAGGCTCTGAGCTGTCAGCACAGAGCCCGACGCGGGGCTTGAACTCACATATCGCGAGATCATGACCTGAGCCTAAGTTGGATGCTTAACCGACTGAGCCACCCAGCCGCCCCTTTTGATTTCTAAACTTTATTTACTTTTTATTTATTTAAGTAATCCCTGCACCCGAGGTGGGGCTTGAACTCACGATCCAGAGATCAAGAGTCGCATGCTCTTCTGACTGAGCCAGCCGGACCACCCTGGGCTCCGACGATTCTTAACCAGGGTTTTCTGAGTGAGGCTAAAATTTGGTTAGTAGACATTGGTATGAATGTGCTGGTTTTTACAATACCGAAACATCTCTGTTCTAGCTAAAAGAGAAAGCATTAAACTCAGTAATACACATCCTCATATAAACTCCTTAATTCAAGTTAGTTGCTGCAGCAGGTTTTCTGCCAAATTATTACTTAATCGATAATAAAGACAGCGAATGCACAAAGCTGTCACACAGTATTAGAGAGGCTACAAAAGATTTTAGTGTCATTGCCGATAGTTCAAGAACAGTGAGGAGAGGAGAAAACACCAAAACGCTGTGGATAATGCCAAGAGAAATGATCTATTGAGACCCCAAGTCACCTGATGAAACTGAGCTCAGTGGGAAGTTGCAACTTGGGAAGTTGCAGTGGGAAGCACTTGTTGTGGTTCCCTTATCAAATCACAGCTAAGGCAGGGTTACTTTATATATATTTTATATAACAAATAAATAAATAAGCGATATATATATTCATAAATATATACGAATATATATATATGTATACATAGCTGTGTCAAGAAATCACACCAACAATTTCTAAATAAGTTTCTAAATAAAACAAAATCATTGCAACGATTAAGAGCGATGTGAGCTTCAGCTTATGTTCCTGGCAAACAACTTAAAGAAATATGTATATAGAGGGATCGTTTCCATTCTTTAGAGAATCAAAAATATTTAAATAGACGGATGCATATACTAACTTATATATTAATTTATATTACTGTACCTGTTACAAAAGGTTTTGGACATCACACATCCTTCACGAATGCCCTGTGGGGCATTTCAAAACCGCACGTGACAAGGGACGATGTTTTATTAGGTGGAGACGCCCTGCATATTATGGGACGTCTCCATCCCTGGGCCGTGGCTCTGGAGGGCCAAGAGCACCCCATGATCACCCCAAATCATCCCCGTATGTTTCCCAAACGCTCCACGGAAACCCAACAGTCTCGGGGCCATTTGCGGGTTCAGTGGCTAAAAACAGAGGCTGTGTTCTAAGAAGTCAGGCTTTGGACATCTGAGTCTCAGGAGACTGGGACAAATTTGCATGCGTCTTCCCTCTTGCTGGCCTGTGAGGTCTCCTCCTCCTCCAAGGGCTTCATGTGTCTGCAATGACACCGATCCCCCACACCCGACCTATAGGTTCAGGGAGGCCGTGACTTGCCTAAGATGACCAGGAAAATAAGTGGCCAAGCCAGGAGCCAACCCCAGCCTTGACTCCTGACCCCTTTACCACTCAAGTGCCACCCAGCACCCAGTCACCTCCATTTCTTAGGTGCAAAGCAGAGTTTCGGAGACGCAGAGCGGTACCACAGAGAGGGGCATAGTATCCAACTTCTGTGTGGGCTCCAGACTGACTGCCTGGGTTCAAGTCCCTGCTCGGTCACTTCCCAAGCTGTCTGACCTTGGGCAAATGGCTTTACCATTCTAGCCTCAGTTTGCTCCCCTGTAAAATGGAAATAATAGCAGCTCTCACCTCAGGACCTGGGGGTGAGACATAAATCAGTGAATCTGTGTGAAATACTGAGAAGGATGCCTGGCACACGGTATGTGCTGAGTAACAGTGAGTTATGACGACTGTTTATCCGGCCTTGCAGTGGGCTAACAGGTGCAGAGAGCTGAAATAATGAGGTAACACCATTAACATGGAGTGGGGCCGGCATCCAGGACCCGGTTCTTAACCATAGCTGCAGCTCAGGGCTCTGAGCCTGTTCCCTCCTCTGGAAGAGGAGGTCAAGAGCAGCATGCACCTCCCGGGGCTCTCGAAGGGCGAAGGGGGATAGTTATCCGGTCCTGCAAGACACAGGGGATTAGAGAGGCCTGAGACTCAAGAGTCAGGAAAGCTACAGAACAACGGAGGGGACAGGCTTACCGGCGCCTTGGCCCCACAGCAGGACGACGGCGCCCCCTGGTGGCGGAAGCAGCCCCAGCAACCAAGTGCCCCACGGACTGTGAGCTGGACAGAGGGCGCTCATTGAATCCCGGAAGAAACTGAGGCACAGAGAAGCCGGGACAGTCGCCCAGGCCCACCTAAGTTGCAAGTGGTAGAGCTGGGGTTTTGGTCACGGCAGTCCAGCCCAGAACCCACATGCTTTCCTCTTTACAAAAACTGTCCGTGCTCTGAATAAAGCGCACGCTCTCGGAAATCTTGGGCAGCGTAGGTCTTCGACGTCCGGGCCTGTGCTGGGCCTTGCAGGGCAGCTGGGCATCCCCGGCCCGCCCACCAAACGCCAGCGGCGCCAAAGCAAAGGCCAGCTCCCCGCCCATGAGCGTTCTTCTCCCGCTCCCAGGAGCGGCCGCTGGAGCCTCAGCCGCTTCCCGCCAAACTCAGGAGTGACGGGTTGGGGTACTCGGGGTTCTCGATGACCCCGGGGCCGAACTTGAGCTCCAGGAAGCGACGGTAGTTGTTAGGCGCCTGCGCCACGAAGCCAGCGAAAGGCAGGGGCACGAGAGGCTGCAGGAAGTGTTCGGGGAACTCGACATCCTGCCGGTGGTCCAGCCACGTGTCCTTGGTCATGACCCCGTTGCGGGGGTAGAAAGGCCACAGGTCCACGTGCAGATGGTTGCTCTCGCTGTACTGCACGCGGAAGAAGTCGCCCTCTACGGCCTTCTCCCACACGAAGCCGCGCTCGTCCACCACCGAGCCCGCCTCGGCGCCGCGCAGCTGCTCGCAGTTGCCCACGTCCTCCAGGTAGATGCCCAGGTCCACGTCGTAGTCCCACGGGATGATGTCCCCGTGGCGGGCGGCCCCCAGCAGCGAGCCGCCCTCCAGCCAGTAGCGCACGCCCGCCGCCTCCAGCACGCCCACCACGTAGCGGGCGGTCTCGCGCAGCGCGCGCAGGCAGCACGGCGGCGTCCAGCGCTGCTCGTACAGGTAGGCCGGCGTGTCGCCCACCACCGTCCCGAAGCAGCGCGGCGTCTCCTTGCTGCAGCCGAACCACTCGAGCCGCCCGCCCTCCCCGCTCACCAGGCGGATGCCCAGCGCGCGCAGCAGCGCCGCCCGCCGCGCGCGCCCCTCGC